TTGTAGAGAAGATGGGGGAGGGAAGGCAGAACAGCGCTGCTGCCTGTGACATTTCCAAAAGTATAATTTTCAAGCTGCCTCGCTGCTTTTTGGATAGTATCAGATTAATATGATCCTGATTCTCTGGTCATTGTGGTTGACTCTCCCACTGGCTGGTAAAGGCTGTAGTGCTGGGCTAGACCAGAGGCTGCCTGCTTCTTCACTCAGGGGTAGCCCTGGGCAGCTCTAATATCTCCTCAGCCATTCCCCATAGAGACAGGGAGTGATGGAGTGCCTTCATCACTGTTGCTGACAGTGCTTCCTTGTCAGGAAAACTGCATGGAGCCGGTGAGGAGAACAGCTCAACTCTGTCCTTGCAGACAGTGTGGATGCTGCTGGCTGACGAGACTCCTGCTTGGAAGGAAGGAGAGCCATGAGAGAGCCTTTCAGAGTATAGATGCAACATGTTCAGTGCTCAGAATGGACACAGACTTCTTAAAGTATTAACAAATAGGCTCTTTTTATAGTTAATATCGATGGTATGTTTGTCCATAGCACAGGCTGAGTTATTCACAGAAACAGCCACTGCATCACTGTTCAGAAAAACTCCGAAGTATTTTATATAATGTTTTAAGATCACAGGATAGTACATTAGGAATTACCCCAAGTTACCCTTGACTACTATTCTGCATTTTTACTGTACCAAACTGTCTTCTTTTCTATATCTCTCTGCCCATTTCCCTGTCAAATGGAAAGTAAACCTAAATCTTAAAATCTGTACTCTCCCTTTCTTTTGCTTCATTTTTTCCCTTTAACCTTACCTGGAAAATGTACTGGTGAAACCAGTGGGAATTCTTCCAAATAAAGCCATAAATCAACATTATACATCAGAAAACTCAACTTCTTTGCCTACTTAACAGCAAAAAATATGTACTATTGCCAAGATAGATTTAAAGTCTGGGTAGATGCTTTATTCCCAGGAGCTGCTAATGGCAGTGTATATTTTGAGTCAGAGCAATAGTCACACCTATAAAAGTGATCGGTGACTGTTTGATATCCATGATGTTTTCTAAGTTTGTCTCAGGCTTGTGCAGTGAGTCCAGCACTCACCTGACTCTAAGAGTGGCAACACAGTGGCTGTGGGCTTAGAGGGAACTGGATCTCAGCCGTGACCATCCAGAAGAGATGGGAATGAGAGAAGGAAAGTGATAGAGAGCCATGACTGTGCTGTAGGAATTAATGTTGTCCAGATTTCTACTTACCCACACCTCTCTCCTAAAAAAAAAAAAAAAAATTAATAGGAGAAACTTGGAGAAGTCCACAACTGAAAATTATGTCTTTTTTCAAATTATGTTCTGTGGAGGATATTGGGATGAATTGGCTGAATAGCACGTTCTAGTCCATGTCAGGTCAGGGCCTACTGTCATCAGAAATGTTTTGGAAAGCCGGAAACCTAGTGCAACATGTCCATCGTGTGTGTTCCTTAGGACTCTGGAGAATGGGATTTTTTTTTTCCTAGACCTGGAAATACATCTGGAGGCAATAAATTGTCCCTGTATTATTGCAGGGGTAGAATATTCTTTCTGAGATGTGCTATCCCTGTGGTGTCAGGACTGCCACTGGAAGTTTTTGAGGTTTCCCACTTTTGCAGCAGTGGGAAGGGGTTGAGGTAGTCGTGAAGCACCAGAGTTCAGCTCTGAGGCTTTTGAGGGTTGGTAGGTCTTGTGCATGGATAAGCTTGTCAGCATTGACTTGAGCTGGATGACTGAGAGGCTGAGTCCATTTATGGGACCCAATGTTCATTGGGAAATGGGAGTGCACCCTGTGGATCAACTGAGACATGGTTACCGCACAGATCTTGGATGGATTTGGGGCATGAAACTAAGGATAACACATGTAGAAAGTCCTCCTAAAAAGCAAGCCACAGAAAAAAAAACACGGAGCATAAAGGAGGTCAGACTCTGGATCTGTTTATTGGCAAAGAAATGACCATTGGAACAATGACTAATAGATGTTTGCTGTGCTTAGTTTCACAAGTACCAACCTCGATTATGCCCTACTCTTTTAGACATAGCCATGTCCTGCTAACCTGCTTGTGCTAGAGGGGCACTGCCATGATCTGTGTTCCTTAAAAATTAGGAGGTGCTGTGCAAGCAAGAACAGCAAGGGAAAAGTGATATCAGGGCTTTGTGAGGCCCTGAGGACCATGTCCTCAGCAGGGTCTGTGTCAGCCTAGTGTATGTCCCGTGGTTGGTTACAAATCCTAATGCTGCAGGAGATGTCCTCTTTGTCCCTTGCCACAAAGGTGTGATTTCTGCTCTCAGAGCAGAGGACAATGAATATTTAGTTCCCATAAAATCGTAGAATTTGGGTTGGAAGGGACCTTAAAGATCAACTAGTCCAATCCCCCTGCCATGGGCAGAAGCACCTTCCATGAGAGCAGTCTGCTCAAAGTGTCATCCAGCCTGGCCATCACTCACTACAGGGGCCTTTCACATCCCACTGCCTAATGAAGTACCTTTCTTTTGAAGCAACACCTTGGCTGCTTTGGAAAAGCTGTAAGTTAGCCTCTCAAATTGCTCCACTGCAAGGGAGATCTTTATGTTCTTTTCTAAAATTTTTTACACCAGTCTATACCAGCTGATATTTTTATGACTTGTTTTTTTGAACTGCACCTTAAATGCAGAGCTCTCCACTTCCCACCACAGCTGGGCCAGCCAGTGGTGCAGGGTAGGGATGAAGAGATGTGCACACCACACAAAACCCACTCCTCCTGGTTTGCCTGCAAAGAATTGTCATCGCAAAAGAACAAAAGTAATTCAAACCAAAATTGCCTGTTCACTTTTTGTGTGTGCAGAAATGCAGTGTGCATAGTCCCAACACAGGCATCTTGCGACAAGAGCTGAATTTTGCCTTTGCATCTCGAAAGCTGGAAGTCACATGGGCCCAAGGAGTAACATTAAAAAAGCCAGAACCTGCCAAAAGGAATTCACAATAAAGGCAGAGACTTTTTCTCCTCGTGACTAAAACACCTGTCACAGCTGCCAGGACTCTGCTAATTACACAATAACTTCATTATATCCCACTTGGAAGAACAAACAATACTTGAAGCTCCAAAAATGAGCAGCCTTTAGACGAGATTAATGCAGGCAGAACGACTGCATGGAGCCCCATCCTCCCAGTAGCTCCAGAGAGTAAAATGGCTTGAAGACTCCCCTTTTCTTTGCTAGTGCTACATAATAAAGTAATTGTGCAATTAGAAGTAGATTACTGATGGGAGATGAGCATTTTCTATGCAACATAGGTAAAAGGTTGGCTTCTCTGCATAGGTTTGATACCTCAATGCAGCATCTCTGCTCCTTTGTACTTGAGCTTCTGGCAGCTCCTGATAGCATCCACACAGGAGAAAAGGAGCATCACTAGTTGAGTGTGGTTTCTCTTCCCATGTGAATATATTAAGGAGGTCTCATGGAGAATTTCACTGTGGTCTCTACTTTGTCCAACACTAATGCAGCAAGAATGGTTGCAACATGGATTAGAGGGTCTAAAAACAAAACAAAACATAAGTCCAAAATTGAAATACAGCTGAATGTTGTGAAATATCTCTGTGAAGGAAGCAGGTCTTGGCTCTCAGATATGGATGCTCTTTCCTTCATCACTTCTTTTCACCTAAGGGAACCAGCCTGCTGTTGGTTAGGGCAAGATCAGAGTTGTTGCTCTTGGGCACAGACATTTAGTGTAAGAAATCATGGCTGGAGCAGGAGTCTGAAGGAGCTGGAACATGGTTGCTGGACCTCTGCAGGACAGAGATCAATGTGGGTGCACTTGGGCACACTGGTGCTTCGGGGACCTTCTCCATGGAGGTAGACAAGGATGCATAAGTGGGTGCTGGAGGACTGGGGGAAGGCATGTGGACCGTGCTGAGGGCTCCTTGTTCACAGAGCCACAACTTCAAGACATTGCAGGGGGGTCAGTGCAGAGGGACCACCTTGAGCTATCCACCAAGTCACTCTCTCAGCCTGGTGGGGATTGATAACAGGTCCCATGACCAAGCAACAGATGGGGAATTGGGAGTTAAGATATACTTGAGATGGTGGCAGATGAGTTAGACGAGACAAGGAGCGGGGAGTCTTCTGGGTTTGTTGCAGCTCAGCCTAAAGGTTGTGGCACTGCCTTCTCCATATCTTGCTGGGGGCTCTTTTCTCTGCCATCCTTGGGTGCCTGTGGCCTCCAAGGGATGCCAGCGTGGCAGAGGGGTCCTCCTTTGGGAAACTGCCTCTGTGCCCTTGCTCCAGTGAGAGCAATTAATGCAGACCAGAGAGGCTGTGGAGGAGTGAGTCTTCCATTGCTCCCATCTTGGGGGTCATGCCTCATTTTCTTGCCTGTTTGATGGTGTTGTCAACTTTTGGGGGTCAGGAGGGTAAGAGGGAGGTGTTGCCAGTTGTGGTGATGGTGGTGGGAGGCAGCATGAGCTGAGCAGGATCTGCTCCAGTGCATTGTGGGTCCCTGTAGGTATCAGCCTGACTGAAGGGCTCTGTGTGCCCAGGTGAAACTGGAAGAGGGGAAACAATATGGGCAACACGTTGGGCAACAGAAATGGCATGAATATGGTTTTGGGGTGAAATAACTCTTTGGGGGTGATGTTTCTCTAGTCTAAGCTCGGTCATAATTCTGACAGGATGTACAGACATCACAGTGACTGATTTCTCTTGTGACAGCCCTAGGAGAGGACTTTGTAGATGACTCACCTTTGATGTGGTGTCACCTGTAGCTACTTAACCCTTCAAGATTGTTAATCTGGTATCCCAAAGCCAGGAAAGAAAACTTGTAGTATCTTCCCTGCCCTGTGAGCTGCCTGGAGAAATTAGCCCTGGGGATGGGTCAACTGCCAGGACTGCTAAGACAGGCGTCCTGCCCAGGAGCAGGTGCCAACCTGCAGCAATCCCTACCCGCGTGGTCAGCAGGTCTCATCAGCCCTTTCCCCCTGTTGTACCTGACAGGTGTGTGTGTGCTGTTTGCAGGTCCCGTGGCAGTGATCAGCGGAGAGGAGGATTCAGCCAGTCCTCTCCACCATATCAACCATGGCATCACGACACCCTCATCCCTGGATGCTGGCCCGGACACAGTGGTGATCGGCATGACCCGCATTCCCGTCATCGAGAACCCCCAGTACTTCCGACAAGGTCACAACTGCCACAAGCCAGACACGTGTGAGTGCCCGATCCGGAGCCCCCCGTTGAGGATCAAGGGATGGGCTGGGGGGATGGGGGGAAGGAGGACGAGGAGGAAGAGGTTAAGAGGATGAGGAAGAAGAGAAGGAGGTTTTTGAGGAGAGTGGGTCTTGGTATGGTCCAGAAACCAAAGTGAATCTCAGGTCTCAGAAATCACAACATACATGTAGATGCTTCCAGAGAAGACTTTCCACTCTCACCTTCACCTCCCTTCACCCTCCCTCCGCCACCCACCCGTCACCTTCCCCCCTTGCCTGAAAGTGCCATTCCAAGCCAGGCTCTTCCTCATCAGCTCCAAGCATGAGGTCCCAGGTGTGAGCAAGAGCCACCTGAGAGCATGGGGATGGACATGACTCGTGCTTGGCTGGGGAAAGGACCTGCCTCCCCTTCCTCCTCCAGCAGTTTCCCAGTCATAGGGCTGCCTCTTTGGCTCCCCAGTGGGCCAAGGAGAAGCTCAGGACTCGTGTACATAGGTGGGGCAGATGTGTGGAGATATCTTTATCTCCAGGGGTTTTAGATGCTGGATGTCTTGTTTTCATGGGCTTCTGTAAAGCTTTTACACCTTTCCTGTATAAGTCTGGGTCATGAACTGAGCTCATTAGACTAGCAGGTGGTGATCAAATGGTCCTCTCCAGTTTGTCTTTCTAAATTCTGAGTATAAAAGAAAAGTGCTGTGTAAAAGGATGCTTTTCTGGGAGTCCTGCACCACTTCCCACGTGAGCGGTGGGATGCAGCCCTCCCCAGTATGTGGCTCACAGGTGGTAGTTGAGCTGTCCCAGGCCTCTTGCCAGCTCTGAGATGCAAGCCAAGCAATGCAGGGGTTTGGGTAACATTCTTCTCTTATTATTGCTCATCCTTTTAGTGTGTCTTGGTTCCGGGTAGAACTGGAAAAATAAAAGGCTTGGAAAAAAAAATGGTGAATAAGCCTCAACTTGGGCTAACTGTGGCTTAACCAGAAGAAGGGAGTGCTGCACTGGCCACCCCTGTTCATCCCATGGCTTCTGCTGACTCATGGGTGTAGGAGACATAACTCAGCTCTTGGAAACAGGGAGAAGGCTGATTTCCCAACCTGTGGGAACCCATTTGGCATTAAGTGCTCAGTAGGAGCACACTGCTCCTGTTCTCCACTCCTCTCTCAGGGGAAGGGGAGCTGCAGCTGCTGTTCCCTGGGAGGTGTCCATGGGGCAGCCCCTGCTGTGTACCCTCCTGGGTCCTACTGGCTTGTGCCCAAGCCCATATTACCACCCTTCACTTGTCAGAGTGATGGGATGTACTCAGTGAATGTGCCTGGCTTTCCCCTTGATTTTCATTTTAATGTGCTAAATTTGGTCTGTTTGTAGGGAGGGGAGGATGAGGGCGGTGATTAGGCAGGAGCAGAGAAGCTGAATGTAGCGTGTTTTTTCTGTGCTGTTAATTATATATTTTACATTTCTTATAGCACCTCATCTCAAAATGATTTACAAACTCTGATGGCTTGGGAGGGGGGGCTCCCCCGCTTTACTTTTTTTTCCTTTCCCTCCTGTGCTGTCTCAAATCTCTTTAATCTATGTGCCGACCATTTCAAGACGTGGGTGCTGTTGAAGCTGTGCAGTGGCAGAGCTTAAACCTCAAAGGATTAAGTTTTGCTCTGAGTCTTTGCCCTGTGGGGTTTGTCAGAGCTGTGTAGGTTGCAGAGGAAGTTGCTCACAGTGGGATTTGGTTCACGAAGATGCTTGGCATGGCATCTGGAGGTGCTTCTCCTGTGGAAGGTGCCACAGGAGGGAATGCTTCAGGTTTTCCAGGGCTACAGGGCAGTGTGGCTGAAACCAGACCCCACAACAGTGGCACTCCCTTTGGGTAATAACAAGAGGCAAACCACAGCTGGATGTTGGCAAGCTGAATGCCCTAATATTTTTAGATTTCTTTGTCATTCATGGGGCAAAATCCAGGCCTTCAGCCCTCAGGTAGAGTTGAATTTGGTGTGTGCTTTGTGTTTTAGTCCCCAAGACTTGTCTTGGACAAAATTTCTGACTTCACTGGTGGCTTTGCTTGAGGCTGGAAAGTTTCATAATTCACCTTTTAAATTAACCATGCTTTGGGGAGCTTTTGCTGTAAGGGGTTTGTTTGATCTGATGTGCTCTACTCAACTTAAGCCTGAGCTGGAGAATATTTGTTGCTCCTGTTCTCCCCATGGTTCTCATGCTGGAGGGTTTTTCTCTCTTCCTGTGCAGAGCTTGGACACAAACAGTTCTTCATTTGCTGTCAGTTGTAGAGAGAACTCCTCTGGGCTGGGGAGTACCTTAATGCCCAGCTGAGCTCCTGCCACCCACCTCCCACAGAGCTGCTGCCCAGCTGTGAGCAAAGATGCTCCATGACACCCAGCATCTTTCCTTTGCACTGAGTTGTATCTTCAGCAAGCATTTTCCCTCTCCATCATGAAGCTTTGCTCCTTCCTTCCTCACATGAATATCTCTGTGCTCTTGGATGTTGTCTGGGTGGAGGACATGCCGATACCCATTGCCAGGCTGCAATGAGGAGAGCAAACTCTGTATGCTTAATGCAGTATTAATAGTACATTGATGTGATATAGATTTCTGTCACCCTCTATACTAGCAAGCATCACTTATCACACAGGGATGACGGATGTTTATTCCCAGCCACTTAGCTCTGCATAATGGAATTGCAGCTGAAATATGGAGACCAGCTCCCTGCCTGTGGAGCTGCAGTCCCTCTTGCTCCCGCTGTGCATTGCTGTCCCATGGGATCTTCTTGTTAACGTGTCCTCAAGGAGACAGAGATGTGTTCTTCACTGGGAATGTACTGTCCTCGTGACAATGAGATGAAGGGCACAGGAGCCAGCTCTCATTTATGGCTTCCTGGGATTTTTGCAATTGTCTCTTACCCCCTTTCTGCTACTGCCTGTTTTAGAGGAGCAGGTGGGAGAAACGTGGCTTAAAATTCTCTTTCCCTTTCTGGATGAGAGATTCTCAAAGAGCCATGGAAGAAACCAGCACCACCCTGTTTTCTCATGATGAAGCATTGAGTCTTTGAGAAGATGCTTCCCCAGCTTTATGCTGTAACTCCATGACATGCTGGGCAGCACCGGGGTTTGTATCCAGTCCTTGTCTCAGCCCTGCCTGGGGAGGGTTAAGCAAGGAGTTTGGCAATGTGGACAGTCCAGCCACAAGTCAAATTCAGAAGAATAGGCTAAAACTGCCTCTTTCTCCTGCCCTTTTGCACACTGAAGAGAAACGAAGTGTATTTCTTTTTGGCAGACATCAGCAGGAGGAGCGACAGGTTGACAGGAGTTTGCACCTCTCTGTATTTGGAAATAAACAGATGAGAGCAGAAGAATGGGACTTGTGGCAAGCACTGTGGTCAGAGTAAACGATGAGGATGAGGGCGTAGGACATAACATCAGCCTACAGTCAGAGGTTTTGGTAGTGCAAAACATGCCCTCATTGGTGTCCAGAAGGTGGCTATTAGTCCTTCTGGGCAGGATTGGCAGTAACAGCAGCTTCTTACCTTATCTCCATCTCTTGAAGTTCAGGGTTTTAATTTCCGAAACACAAGTTTTGTAATTATGAATAGCTGGAGATTTCTGTGGTGAAATATTAGTAATGTTTCAGAAGAATCATTCTGGAAGATTGTTTTACTTTAATAATAGCAATTAAGTAGTCATTAATTCTAAGCAATATGCATCAGATGCAGATTAGTTCTTGGATCTGATCTCTTGAGCTTTACTCAAATGCCACAGCACAGTTTTGGAGTTGTTCAGTCCCCTTGTATTTCTCATCTGACAAAACAGGTCTTCTGGAGAATGAGACAAATCAGAGAAAAGAAATCCAAAACCTCAATGGAAAAAAGTAGTCTGGGGGGACAGGTCTTCATTTGCATCCCAGCAGTGGATGTTCAGTTCCCACAAGCACTGTGAAGCTAGACTTTTGGGGCAAAAGATTTGATTTTGGGGGAGGATTTTGCCAGACACAATCGGAGCTGGCTGTGTTTTCCAGGACTGGCGCAGTCTGGGGACTGGGATGCATTCTCCACACGGGTGGAGCAGCCGTCCTTTCGTACAGTCCTAATGAGGGTTTTTTTCAACCTCGTTTATTACAGGCTGCCCTGACATAATTACATATTCGAAGTTAGTAATTACACGTATTCATGCTAATTAAGTAATTAGATATAATTACACCAACTGTAAATACATGGTAATCGGCTAAAAAGAAGTACTTCAGAAAAAAACAAGGCAAATCACACAATAAAGGCGCCATCAGCACTCTTTCATTCAGTACCCTGCCTTTATCTTGTATTTCAGTGCAGCTTAAAAGGAACATTGTGGTCATTTCAGAAATCATATTTCTTAAACAAATAGATTTCCTTATCTCTGGTTCTAATAGGTCTTGAAAACAGAAATGAAAAAGATATTTACCCTTACCACTGTTAATTTTTTTTGTTTGCCTAGTATGTTCTGTTCACCCTGGGCATGGGAAGATAAAAAGTATGCAGCATTTCTATTTTTGGTCAGTTCATGTTCCAATTTTTGCCAAAAACAACAACATGAAACTAAAGTCATAAGTGCTTTTAGTTTTATTTGCCTAAAAAAGAAAACTGAAACAGTTGGTAGTGAAAAGGAGAAAATTTTCCTTTTCTCCCTTTACTTATTTTTTTTCTGTCAGGGATAAGAGGATTTGTCAAATATTCTTTTCATGCAATATAAATGTGGAGCCCAGTGTGAAGTGACAACAGCACTCTGCTGCCCCATGGCCAGCCTGGGGCTGGGCTGTGCAGGTCTCAGCCCCTCCCACAGTGCTCTGCTGTTTCTCCAAACTTTTCTTTTCTTCTTCTCTCCTCTAAGATGAAAGCTCCAGTTTCTTCTCCAGCAGAACCTAGCTCCCATTGCTCTTCTGAAGTAGGCACTTGTGGGTCAAGTCTCTTCTGCACTGGAGTTCCCACTGTCTTACAGTCTTGTCCTTCTCATTCAACCCACATGAGATACT